TAAATGCTTGGTATAGCTGGGAAAATAAATTGGGTGTAATTGAATTATGATAAAGTGTAATCTCAACAGTGGCTCTACTTTGTGTTCTTGGAGTTGCAATTTTCTGCTCATTTTTTGTAAGATCATCTTTTCCTCAGACTGCGCAAAGTTCATGCACTCACAGCGATGTTATCTCCGTCAACTAATAAATCAGTTTGTTTTGGCATAAGATTCCTTGTAAACGTTGCCATAATCTGACAGATTGGAGTTTGCATCACGATTTCAGAAGATGTGTTTGTCTATAGATAACGGTCCTGCTGTTTAATGAAGAAAAAAAAAATACAGGCAAATAAAGTATCCTTTTGAAAGGTTATAGGCTCATTTCATCTCTCACCATGGCTCCTTGTTTTCCAGTTAACTTACCATTATAAACTCCTTGGGGCAGATTCGGTAATTATAACATTAAAGTGTAAGCTCTATGGGTAGGTTCTGCTATTATCTTAACTACTCTAATCTCCTAAAGATAAGGAATCTCATTACACCCAGACTGTATGTTCCTTGGGACAGTGCTTTTTATTATTCCCCTAGGCTGTTCTCTTTGAGGCTTGCTTTTCTTTTACACCACTAGATTGTAAGCTCCTTAGTACAAAGTAATCTCTTAAACTTGCTGTGTTCCATTTGAACATACTAGATCCATTCAGTTATGCATGTTTTAAAGCTACTGTTGTACCTCTTGTCATATTTTGCATTCTTGGTGCCATGAACTGCAACTACCATAATGCTGCTCCAACCTATCTTGCCTAATACACAAGTATGTCCCGTTGAGGCCCCTACACTCTGCCAAAGACCTACGTATATCCTCTGTCTGTACTCTCACCTCTAATGCTCTCTCCAGGGCTGCAACTCTTGTGTGGAACTCCCTTTCCTTCTCCGTAAGACTTTCACCCAGTCTCCACTCATTCAAAAAAATCATTGAAAACTCACTTCTTCAAGAAAGCATATCAATTAAACTGTTAGCAGGTTTTCATCCCCCACTCTCCATGACTCCTCTCCTGCAACTGTCAAAAATTACCTACTAAGCCCTCAGTAAATACTTTTCTAACAACCTACTTCGTACCCCTACTTTTACCCTCTGTGTCACTATACCCCGCTCCCTCTAGAATGTAAGTTCATTGAGCAGGGTCCTCCACCCCTCTGTTCCTGTGTGTCCAACTTGTCTGGTTACAATTACATGTCTGTTAGTCCACCCATTGTACAGCGCTACTGAGTCTGATGGCGCTATATAAATAATAAAATTATAATAATTATAAGCCAAGCAAAGCCTGGAATATACAGCCAGCAGCATCTGATGTGCAAAACGACCTTACATTAACTTCCATAAACTTAGTGCATTGAAGATAATTTGTGTGATATGACAATGTCTGTATTTAGTACTACTTTGACGTGCACCATTCTAATGGTAATATCTCAAATGGTACCCTACTGTTATAATGCAAGATTGTAAGCTCCTTGGGGTAGGGTTTTCACTTCTAGACTGCAGAACTTTTTTTTAAACATTTCCCTGTGCGGAGTGCCATCCTTGCCCTGATAGAGCAGCAAGTCTTTCTGTTGGATTTCTCTGCATTTCCTGATACCCTGGGACTTTGTGTTAGAAATAGTTCTTTTATTATTATGATTTATTCATGATTTAAAAATTTTTTTTTTCCAAAGCAAGAAACATTGGAAAGGCTGGCGATTTGACAATACACTTAATCTTGCCTGTTTGTCCGCACCACAGGGATTATTTGGCATTTTTACTGTGTTACAAGCACTTCCTCTCTGTCCTACCGGACCATGCCCCTCACTAATCTCAGCCCATGTTCTCTTCATTAGCAGAATCGCTGGCTATTACTGACAGGTTTTGGATCCTCTCTCACAGACCCCCTGTTCCCTAGAAGAGAATGCAGTTTTGCTGGCTCAGCTTGGCAACAGCGAAAAACAAAAGTGTAATTATTTCTAGAGTGCTGTGTCAGAAAGTGCACATTTTATTCACACAATTTATCTTCTATTAACCAAAACCAAGAGCAGATCCAACCTTTCTCAGCACAAGTTTTCGCTTTACAAATAACACTTCGAGTTAAACACTCCAACTGTTTAATTGGCTTACTTTTTCTTTATCTTAAACAGAGAAACGTCTTTTGCTGATTTTAAGGCTTTTTTGGGTGGGGGGGTCTGTTCCCAGTCCCTTGACATCTGCTCAGCCTCACCTTGTATTCACTAGACCTCCATTTTACACCATCTGATGCTCCTCGTAGAATGTATTTTAGCATTATGATTATCTCAAAAAATTAAGTTCTTTATCAACCTCTAATTAGTTTGTATGCTTTGGACAGAAATACAATTTGCATGAATAACAGTTTAGAAAAGTGTACGTCGTGAGCAAGACAGCCAAGCAAAATCTGAGTGTTTAACGGGCAACTGGATCTATGTGTGTTACAGTGATATTCTGCTATAAAATATATGGCCTCTACATACACCTATAAAGGTACATATCAGTAATATCGAGTAGGAATAACCTTCGGCCCAAATGAGCCAGAGTTCATCATGGCATGAATGCAACAAGATGCTGGAAACATTCCTCGGAGATTACTGTCCAAGTTCACAGGATAGCTGCATGAGGTTTCTGCAGATTGCTCCTTCTTCATCACATCCCAGAGTTACTTTGTTGGATTGAGATCTGTTGACTGTGGAGGCCATCAGATTATACTGAACTCATTGGGTGATTGGGGGTTCACCCGGAACATGCATTTTGTCAGCAGTAGTGCTGACGTAAAGAACAAAAGTTATACAAAATACAGGCTAAGGAACAGCACACACACAAAAATACAGTTTTAAATTGTATAAGGCTACTTAGAAATCACCTGTCACCTCAAACAAATATGGGGATTCAGCTTCAGTATATGGACATATTGTTTTAATCCCACCACTATGTCAGTACCCCAATATCGGTGGGTTCTACACCAATGTTAACATGGGAGACAAACAACTACTTAAATAGTGACATATCCGAATGAATATAAGTTAAATTAAAGTGCATTAAATTAATCATTTGTCAGTGCATTAATATACATCACTCACAATGTGAGCAAAAAAAGTGCCATAACTAAAGTGACAATGCTTTTAAGTATATACCAACAATGCATTGTGATAAATCTGCTCTATATCAATGAAATATTGTTAAAGTGAAAACGTCCTCAAATTTATACTCTTCTGTGGTCACCTCCAAACGGGCGTAATGGAGGGCTTAACACAATATTGACATATGGTGGAACTGAATCGATATATATTTGTTTGCAGAGATAGAAGATTTTAAGTAGCCGTGTAAAATTTAAAGGAACACTATAGTCACCAGAACAACTACAGCTTAATGTAGTTGTTCTGGTGAATATAATCATTGCCTTCAAGCATTTACATGCAAACACTGCCTTTTCAGAGAAATGGCAGTGTTTACATTGCCCCTAGGGACACCTCCAAGGCTACTCCTCAGATGGCCACTGGACAGTAGGTAGCACTGCCGTTCAGCGTCTCCACATTCTGCATGGTGAAGCTGAATTTTCCTCATAGAGATGCATTGATTCGTTTGGCCCTGCCTCCTTGCCGATTTTAGCCAATCCAATGCTTTTTCTATGGGAATTCTAATGATGTCATTGAGGAGGCGGATTGGGGGTGAGACCAGCACCAGCAGACTTGCGCGGCGCTGGAAATAAGGTTAGATTTAATTCCTTTTAAGGGGGCTGAGAGAGTATACATGTTTGTGTTCCTGACCCTATAGTGTTCCTTTAAAACTGTATTTTTGTGTATACAGAATTCATTTTCATGCTTTGAAAAGATGTGTCCTTTTTACTTATTTATAAAATATGTTACCAGGATGGATACATTGGAATTTCTCTCGTTTTAAAGTATGTCCTGTTCGTGAATATCCCAGATCAGCCATTTCTGAGTCAAACTCCTACTTATGGCACCAGCAATGATCCCGTGGTCAAAGTAACCTAGGTCATATATCTTCTAGATTCTGATGTTTGCTTGAACAGCAACAGAACCTCTTGACCCTGTCTGCATGCTTTTATGCATTGAGTTACTGCCATACATTTGGCTGGCTACATATTTGCATTAAGAAAGACATGTATAGGTGTATTTACGAATGTGGAGACCATATTGCCGATGCAGTTCTAGGAGCTGGGCTGCCAGCTTTCTCCTAACCCTGGTCAGTAAGTGGCAGGTCTGCCTTGGTAAGGGGGGGAAATCAGAGCATCTTTGGTCGGTGCACACCTCAGTAATGACTCCCTCACAGGCCGGCGCTCTCTAGTGAGTAAGAGAGCCGCCACCAGAGATTTCCATCTTGCAATCTAACATACTAAGTACAAACTGCAAGGAAGCCATTACAGAGTTCTGCAACAACTGGAGGTGGTAACCTCATGCTCCCCCACATTGTAAGCTCTAGTTACCCCTATTTACTACTCTAACATCTTAAAACATAGAATTGAGTATGGCTGACCATACAGATATCTTTAGCAAAAACATTATATACTTAGTAAGAATTTCTCTATTTAAAATATACAAATCATTCAGAATACAATAAAAATAGGGAATTGGAAGCAAAAATGTTTTGTCTTTTCAAAATATTTTATTGAATATAAATGAAAATATATAAATGAATATAGATTATGCAAAAACGTAATAATCCATTAATATATTATAAAGCAGAGTATATAGAATTAAATGAATAAAAGCTTGTAATAAAAAGTTATAGTATAACATACCCTCCTGATTGTATCCGTAATCTCTCAGTAAGTCGCTGTAGCATTAGTCAAACACGTGTATATTCATATATATTACAGCATTTCTAATCACTACAGGTCATTTATGGGTTAATTCATTTTAGGGTTAAAAGCAGTTTATTTATCAAAATTAAAGGAAAACATCCTTATCAATCTATTGTCATGACCTAGACATATTTAATCTTTATTTGGGCTAACAGTATGGTTGTCTTAGACAAGGCCTTGAATTGTTGTTGTATCATTCTAGGACAAGATGGCGTAAGCATATTATGCACTGAATTGGGTAAGAGGTTATTCATTAAAGAAACATGCTACGGTTTAGAGAAATACAATTTAGCAATGTTTATTATACCCACAATTGCCCAACACAACGTGCCCACCAGGGAGTATGACTCCCCCCTCTGGACTGCCAGCACACCCTCACACACATTATATAAAGTCTGCACATACCACAGACACAAACACACATTACATACAGCCAACAACCCCTCCCCCACCACACACAGTCATCAAATACAGCCAGCACACGCACATTACATGCAGCTAGCACACACTACACACACATCACATCAAGCACAGTCAGCACTCACCGCTCACACCACACACTATGACATAGTGTGCGATTACATAGGATGAGACACTCAGGGTAATTCACAAAACTCTGCTTTTTGCGAAATAAATCCAAATGGCCAATGTGAGGTAAATATAGCCATGCTATGACTATAGCGGAGTTCGAGAATGTTTACAAATCTGATATTTTTACCTCCTATTTTTCCATTCAGATTATATTTGTGAAAATTCAGAGTTGAGAAAATAGCCTTGTCAATGTCCATGGCTGTTGGCAGGGTCTCCAGTCTTTGTAATTGAAATTTTTATGTGTCAGGAGAAGTAGATTGTCATGTTGGACAAGTAGATTGGGATGCCTCTTTAGTCCCTTGGAAAAGTAGATTTAAAAAAAAAAAAAAAAAAATCCACACCCCTGTGTTTCTAATAAAGTTTCCACCAAGTGTGTCCTAGGATTTAAGGATTTAAAAAGATAAACGAACTGAAGGACCAGTAATATGTCTTGAAAACAATATTCTGCTCTTTCTACGTTAGTATGTTTGCCTATACCCTATGAGCTAGGATCTCTGGGTAATTTTGGCTCAACATGTACATTCTTCATTGAGTTCAGACATTCCAAATATCACAGGTGCCTGTGTGTTCCTGAGCTATTTAAAAATGGCAGCTCCCTGCGTATCTGTGAACACAGAGCAGGCAACAGTTTAGGCGTCACATGGAGAAGTAAAATGCCATTTAACAGCAGAACTGTTACAGCACATTAATGGAGAAAAGACTCGCTGATGGGGCACTCCCCCCACCCTCAATAACCATAAACAGATATCATAAAGAAAAAGAGACAAGGCAATTAGCAGCTGCAAAAAGCAGGTGTAAGTAATATGCCCATTAATGGAGAGCGTTGCCCAGACATTACAATGTGCTGCTCTGCCGTGTGTTTGATGAGATCTTTGCTGGGTACTTCCAAACGAGCGCATCGGACCCCACCTCCTCAATCACCGCCGGGAATTAGTTTGGATGACAGCAGAAATTCGGGAGAAAAACAGAACCATAAAAAATGAGCTTGTCAAACGTTAAATTCACTTTTACGAGAGTGCAAGTCCTCTCCAGCTACATAATTCAGAGAGCTATATGCCGAATGCGCAGGAATAGAAAGTTTGTTGTACTCCAGTGATGATTGCAGAGATAGAAAAATCAATACACAGAAATCAGACAAGAAAGCCGCGTTGTGCTGACCTGCAGCTAATTGTGCTCAGCTAATTTCTGCGGTGTTATTTTCATCTAGAGGCCCGGGATTTACACTCAACAAACTACTGCCCCGCACCAACGGCCGTACGTCCTGTCTGCTGGATAAAAATCCCAATATCATGCCATTCCAGCTGCTAGATTCTTATTGCATTCTGAAGGATTTTCTTTAACCATTTCATATAGTAGCACGCTGCACGAAAAAATATCTTCCCCTATTCACTTTATTTCCTATTTAAAGAAAAAAAAATTGCATACCGTGTCACTATCTCGCTGCTGTCAAGGATTATCGACATCATATCATGTTCTTGAAATTTTTTTCTCCACTCTTAGTTGTCTATTTCTGGAGTGAACTGATGGTTTCTTTCTTTTCTTTTTTTTTTGCTTGAAAAATACGTGTCTAATTTCTATGCAGATGAAATCTCTAGGCTTCTAGTCCTAACAATAAGACACTTGTCATTCTTGCTTCTGAGATCATGCTTTTGCTGCCTTGGCGTCTAGTATGGGAGAATTGAAATGGCTGTATGAATCCAACATTATTTCAGACATTGGTAAACAGCTGCAAGAGTTGCAGTAAACAGAAATAAATCATCTCATAGGACAGTGCATAATAATGATAATTAGATGGGACAGCATGAAGCCAAGCAGAAGACATCATGAATACTCCGTGCTTTGTGATTTATCGGGACTTGCTTCCAGTAGCCTGGACTCAGTAGACATCTTTCCAGACCCAGCCAGATCACAGATCCACTTTCTGCCCCTTACTCGTGGCTTTTGGTCCTTGTTGCAAGTAAGCTCACTTTTTAGATGAACAAAAAGGGTGTGCCTAAAATTAACACCTGCTTATTACCACCCCTGCTGATTTAAACTAAAACTCCACGCACCATAACCACTATAGTCCACTGCAGTTGTTATGGTGGCAAGGGTGCCCTGGCAGAGTAAGTTGTCAAGCCAATTTAGAATGGTAGAATCGTGGATGGATTCTCTCTCCTCAGTCTGTTGGTAGCAGGGGCCTTTCACAGTCCAATCACAGGCCTCTCATAGAGAAGCCTGTGATTGCAACGTTTCACTGGTTTAGAGGGCATATGCATGCAATCTGAACCGGTGGGGGTGGTATTTAGTTAAATCAAAATGCAAACAATGGAGGGAGGTGGGAAGGAGTACACACCGGGCTGGAGGGAAAAAGGTGCTTCTCATTGCAGGTACCCTGCATGCAAGGGAGAAGATTATTATGTGTGTTGTGATGACAGATTTAAAATGTGCACAGAATTGACATTTGGCAGTAGGAATAGTGTTACAGGTCACAAGAAACTCTGTGCATCTAGAATCCTACAACTATGACCACTTTAAATCACTGAAGTGGACATGGAGGTTGTGAGTAACCTTTTAATGTTATTTGGCAAATTACTCTGGGAGGACACCAGGGCACGTCTGGCACCATAACCTCTACAGACTGTAATGATTATGATTTTTGGAATGTTCCTATAAGAGGAATAACCAAAGTAATGTGTGTAGGCAATGTATAGTCTAGTCAATACTCTCAGACATCAGTAATGATGTATATGCTAATGAGATATGTTTTCTGACACTGTATCTCTGCCACATGGAACTTCTTATTTTACTTCAAGTCCTCATTCCTGTGCCCGTATCACTGCAAGTGGAAGGTGCAACCATAAAGTCCTCATTCCTGTGCCAGTATCACTGCTAGTGGAAGGTGCAACCATAAAGCCCTCATTCCTGTGCCAGTATCACTGCTAGTGGAAGGTGCAACCATAAAGCCCTCATTCCTGTGCCAGTATCACTGCAAGTGGAAGGTGCAACCATAAAGCCCTCATTCCTGTGCCAGTATCACTGCTAGTGGAAGGTGCAACCATAAAGCCCTCATTCCTGTGCCAGTATCACTGCTAGTGGAAGGTGCAACCATAAAGCCCTCATTCCTGTGCCAGTATCACTGCTAGTGGAAGGTGCAACCATAAAGCCCTCATTCCTGTGCCAGTATCACTGCTAGTGGAAGGTGCAACCATAAAGCCCTCATTCCTGTGCCAGTATCACTGCAAGTGAAAGGTGCAACCATAAAGCCCTCATTCCTGTGCCAGTATCACTGCTAGTGTAAGGTGCAACCATAAAGCCCTCATTCCTGTGCCAGTATCACTGCTAGTGGAAGGTGCAACCATAAAGCTCTCATCCCTGTGCCAGTATTACTGCTAGTGGAAGGTGCAACCATAAAATCTTTGCTGCAGGCTTACTGCCTAGGTATATACTTTGACTGTGGACCCTCTTTCACTTACTGCATAGTCAGTTCCTAAATCCTTCTATTTTCACCTTAAAAATATGGCTGTATTGTCCCCTTCCTAACATCGAGGCAACTAAAAAGCTTGTCCGTAATTACATCTCCTAGCCGGACTACTGCAACTCATCATTGTTGGTCGAACCCAGACCTCGTCTTTGCAATCCATAATGATTACTGCTGCCATACTTTTATAATGACCCTATGCTCCTCCCGTACCCTATCACTTTGGCAGGCTCTCTACTAGTTTATAAAGTCATTTTTAAAATCTTAGTGCATATTATAATAACTTTTCATAACAACGCAGTGCTCTGTCTATTACTGACTGAGAGGTATATCCAATGCTCTTATTTCCACAACCAACTCAACATTTTTATCTACGACTGGCTATTTCTCCTAAAAGGCCCTTCCTCAGTTAGTTCTATGTTCCCCGGCTCTTTTCCTTACTTAACGTTAAAAAAAATAAAAATCCTCAGGAATGGATATCTACTAAACAGTTATTTTGCCTTCATCCTCCTTCACTTCCACTTATAGTTTATTGTGCAGAGCTGGCAATTTATTATAAGTTTGAATTGTGTACTTTTTACCATTAGCTTTGAGTATTTTTGGTTTGTAAACTTGTTTACGCAGAGCCATTAAAGCAAGGATATGGATATATTAATGTTGCAGTTGGTAACCACCCTTTCTGTATACACGTTTCCACAGCAAGTCAACTTTTAGAAGTCTTTCTGGTAGTTACAGTTGCATCCAGAATCCACTATGGGATTTATAGCACAGTGCATCATGAGAATTGAAGTCCCTAAGTGCTGGTGTGGCATATGCAGCATCCTCTTGTAGCCCGCTGTGTGTTTCGTGCACGTGTCACCGTTAACAAGGCTATAATCTGACAAGCGAGGACAGGAATAAATTAGACACACACGATATGTTCTGTCACTTTAAAACCAATTAGTAGAGAGGCTTCCAAGAGGGCATTCCCTAGGCCTAGATGAATGTCTGCTCATTTGCTCCTGAGGACACTGGATGCAATCTTTTGACATCCTTTTCAAAATGTAGCAGTGGTGGATTTGTTTAACTCTTTTAGTCGACACAGACTGGATTAAAAATAATATTCCAAATGTATTTGTTCCGCAAATTGGACAGCTATTTGGCCACCGAATGCTTTCCTGTTTTGCTGTTCTACTGCTGATGGACAATCCAGATTAAGGAAGCTTCACTGGAGCAAGATAGTGGTGTTCCTGATCTAATAATATTCGGTTTGGTAACACCGGTGCCCTACAAAGCCAAGACTTTCTTGGGCTGCAGAGGCTGTAGTACCTGTTTGGTAGATGCACACTTAGGTCTTCACTAACTGATGTGAAGTTTCTTTTTGTTTATACCTTGAACTGCAGTATATAATGTTCTTGTTTTGTGTGGACATTCCGGCCTCCTCTAACATGTCAGATGCCTCATACCTCTATGACGGACCCTGACTAACATCCTTTGTCCACGGAAAACCGGTCCTGTCTGCATACGAAACAATTAGATGGTTTGACTTTCATTGCTACGGACTGTGAATCATTCTTATAATTTCACATCTGCAACAAAATAACTACATTCCTCCTCTCTTACGATACGTCTATACCTGCTATATATGTACTATTATTAGATTACCACACTAGGTCTAGCACCGGCCAAAAATCCCTTTATGCTAAATGCACTATGGCTTATTCTTCTTTATTTTAATGACTCTCAACAATTTTCATACATTTTTCTGTATGTAATCACTGGACAACAAGCTTAAATCGGTTCTCTCTCTCTTGCTCCTACGTTTGATGTCCTCGCTGGGTGGACTCTACAACCAATGCAACACTTATCAATTTCGTCATCATTGGCTTTTTTGTTTTCTGTTATATGAATAGTGAAGACCTTATTCTTATTCATAGCTCTTCACCTGTCCCTCTAACATTGTTTGTTTTTATGCTACATCTTGCAACATGATGTACTAGAAGGGTCTTATGTCTCATTAATATATTTATTTATAACAACTCATTGCTTTGTTCAGTTGTATAGACCAACAACAAATGGAAACAGAACCTTTCTTTTGTTATCATACTGTTCAGTTGGTATTAATAGCAGCTCCTGCAATGTTAATTGAAAATCTATCATACTTCTGTCTTCTATGCTTTGGGGAAAAAATAATAATTTACATCTCTCACAAGCCCACCTGTCTCCGCTGAAGCTGAATCTCATGAAGCGTTTGACATGTGAAAGAGGGAAGAATCATTTTGAAACCCATTTGTCTTCTCATTTACGGCAACTATGCAGATTAAGGTGCGGTGTCCCCCGTCACCCGCCAAGGTGTAATTTCAAGGATTGTAGGAATAACAGTGTACGCAAGTCAGCTTTTTAACTGATCTGCTGTATTTTCAACACAAAGAGTTATTTCTTAAAAAAAGAGTAGATATACGAAATCTCCTCCCAGCAAAAAGACTGCGGACTCAAGCAATAAGAGAATTCAAATTAACTTCAGTCACATGGGTAAAATGTTACAGATAGCACAGATTTAAATTGCAGTCTAGCTTTGTGATAACTAGCCCTGAATTATATGACATTATTAATATTATTATTATCTATACAGCGCCACCATTTTACGCCATGCTTCACAATTGTACTGTGGGGATATATAATAGCAAATAATTACCATACAAAATAATATTGACAGATACAAGAGGTAAAGAGAGCCGTGCTCAAACAACCTAGCTGGTATTAAATTTGAATATATTCATTTAAAAGAAATGAACAAAACATGAGGTGTAATCACAATTGTAGAAATAAGCAATAGGTGGTGCCGCTAATAGCGTTTCTGATGTATATGGAGTTTTTTTATGATGCAGAGGCAGCCATCTTACTTAATTTTTGAGTACATTAAAGGACCACTATAGGCACCCAGACTACTTCAGCTTAATGAAGTGGTCTGGGTGCCAGGTCCAGCTAGGGTTAACCCATTTTTTCATAAACATAGCAGTGAAACTGCTATGTTTATTAATGGGTTAAGCCTTCCCCTATTTCCTCTAGCGGCTGTCTCATTGACAGCCGCTAGAGGCGCTTGCGTGCTTCTCACTGTGATTTTCACAGTGAGAGCACGCCAGCGTCCATAGGAAAGCATTGAGAATGCTTTCCTATGTGACCGGCTGAATGCGCGCGCATTCAGCCGACGGGGAGGAGGATTGGAGGAGGAGAGCTCTCTGCCCAGCGCTGGAAAAAGGTAAGTTTTAACCCCTTTCCCCCTTCCAGAGCCGGGCGGGAGGGGGACCCTGAGGGTGGGGGCACCCTCAGGGCACTATGGTGCCGGGAAAACGAGTATATTTTCCTGGCACTATAGTGGTCCTTTAACTCGTGACAAAAGTATAGAATATAGTTGAAAAGATTGTAAATCAGTTATACAGAAAACAATAAAAAAATATATATATATTTACAGAGGGAATCAAACTGACCTCTCCAAGGCAATCTGGGCAAAATGGATGGTATAGTTTTATATTGTGTATCATGCCATCTTCCTTTTCTAGCAGATAACATTTATTAATAGCATAAACTACAAATATACCAGTCCTTCTTGCATTAAATGAGTTAGTGAGCTGTTGTAAGAAACTTAGGCCTCGGACAGTTGTGTCTGGAACTCTTAAGGCATTTTATACTCTCTCGTCCAGTCCTTTTTGTTTTGAGCCCTCCAATGTATTATTGAAACATGTATAATGAATATATAGTTTAAAGAATCAATGGTGGATCGTTAACTTTGAACCAATCAGTCCTTGCCAAAGTGCAATAGAAAAAAAAAAACATTATCACAGCAGGTTAGAATGGGTCAGCTCCTCTAATCTGAGTTGTTTGGGGTAAGATCTACATTTATGATTACCGTATATACTCGAGTATAAGACGAGTTTTTCGGCACATTTTTTGTGCTGTAAAAGCCCCACTCGTCTTATACTCGAGTCAATGTCTGTGTTATGGCAACTTACATTGCCATAATACAGACCAGGACCACCGGAATGCAGGAGAAGGGAGCTGACAGGAGCTGCAGGAAAGGTAAGTTACAGCCCACTGCCAGCCCCCTCCTACACAGCCCATCTACTGGACCACCAACGAATGAGAGCCCCCATCCCTCGCCATGTATCAAGCAGGGAGGGGGGACGAAAATAAATAGAAAAAAATTTAAATAATACAAAATAAAATAAAAATATTAATAATATAAAAATAAATATTAAAATAATAATAATTTTAAAAAAAATAATAAAAATGCCCACCCCCCACCAAGGCTCTACATTACATACATACACGCACTCATACACACACTGCATTCATACACACACACTGCACACATACACACACACTGCATTCACACACACTACAATCATACACACACACTGCATTCATACACACGCACTGCATTCATTATACACACACACTGTAAATAAATATTCAATTAATATAATTTTTGGGGGATCTAATTTTATTTAGAAATGTACCAGAAGCTGCTGCATTTCCCACCCTAGTCATATACTCGAGTCAATAAGTTTTCCCAGTTTTTTTGGGTAAAATTAGGGGTCTCGACTTATATTCGGGTCGACTTATACTAGAGTATACACGGTAATTGAAAATGTAGCATTTATTGTGTATACTGTATTTTCCCCCACTGTAATACCGTGGTGGTTTTTTTGTTTTGTTTTTTTTATCTTTGTACAACTGTAAATGCAAGAACAAGCTGTGTATATCAAGTAAGGCATGCAAAGCAATTGTACTATCTTTTTTTGTATATAATAAAAGGACTCAAAACCTAAGAGTATGGTAGCCTTCAGATAGATAATAAAATCAGGCCTGTTTGCGTAGTTATGGAAGGACTGAGTTCCATAGTAAGTGCGAATAACAAGAAGTTAAGATAAAATACTGCTATTTATAAGTCAGACGTTTAAGAGAACTAAAATTAAGAAGAATATAGCAAAGTCTGCCTAAGGAAGACCAAGTGCCTATAAACTGTATTGTCATTTAAAAGAACACTCCATTGAAAACAGGTTGAATTTTTTAAAACAGTTTAGTAGATATTCCCCCAAAGGAGGCATGCATATATTTTGTTTCCTGTATGTTTTCATTGGGAGTATATTGACAAAAAAACAAGCTTTAAAATGCTGCAGACCTGCTGTATTCACACCATTAAATCAAACATTAAAAAGTCACCTATAACCTACGTTAACCTTTACTTCATGAGATGCTCTATTTACATTGTTTTATTTCTCGTCTTCACCGTATGCTTTCTCTATGCTGACTGCCAGATACAGAGGACAGAGCTTATAACAATGATTGATAGGGAGACAAGATGGAGGCTCCCACCTGTGCATTTCTCCATTTAAATGTATTGTTCACACCTCACAAATACATATTTGTTAACTTTAGGGATTTGTAAAAATAGTATTATAACGATCACTGAAAGTTGATCATAAAGTATAGGGTAATTGGAAATATTGAATCCTAGATCGAGGGTGATTGATCACATCAGTCATTCCGAATAACGCATACAGCTCAGGATCATTCCCAATCGTTGAGCTATTCATGTATAATTCCATTTATGTACTTTTTTCCCTTCCTTTGCAAATAAATCAGGCTGGCTTCTAAATACCCTGATGGGTTGTCAGCATTACTAATGTTTTTTTGCCCCTTATTGTAAAGCAGTTGCTCCGTTTACGCTGTTCCTGCGTGCCCTGTTCTATTACACACACTTAATGGGTAAAATTACGACAGGAGGATGTAGAGGGGCCAGGCCAAGCTTACAAATGTTATTATCAAGCTGAACACGGCCATCCTCTGTCCACAGCTTTGCAGATATCATTTTGTGATATGCAGTTTGCCGTCTTTAAAATTCTGCACACACGGTAAATTATAAATATTACTGTAGAAAGCAGTGCCACAAATAGGAAATATAATCCAGCGTGGCAGTAAAGAATGCTGATTATTGTGAATAATATACCGTATGAAAAGCAAGGCCAGATCAGGGAAATCAAGAGAAGCAAAAACTGATTGATGCACCTGTGAACGTGGCCATAGATTTCATATTGAACCGATAATTACCGCTGGGCTGAATTACAGCTCTCTCTCGCCTGCTGAAATACACCAGCAAATCAACATTTAGATTTTCTACGCTTTCCTCTATAAACAAGTTTTACGCATTTTTCGTTTCTTTCTTTCTTTCTTTCCTTTTTTTTTTTTTTTTGGTGTGTTTGTTTGTTTGCAGGCCGGCGATTATTTGCGTAATTAATTCAGGCTGGCTGTCCCAGTCTATTTACTGGGGGGAAAAATAATCTTTATACGAAAATCCAGTCACATTTCGTAGGCAGATTTATTGGTGTTGAGAGCTGGGAAGACAATAGACAGCTCGTTGGAGATTGAATTAGATGTGATATTACATTGCTCATCCAGCTTTTTAAGACCTGATTATAGTTTTCATGACACTACCCCACTTACACGTAAACTAGAAATTCATGGGCATTTTTAATGTGTGTTCCGCGATTTTATGCCACTGTAAACCCAACAGAATAACTTTGTTACAATGTATTTTATGGTCGGAAAGAGGGATGTGCGTAAAAGCTCTTTTAAAGGAAAAATACAGAGGAATGAAGTCCATCTCAGAACAAAAAATCTTCACTCTTAAGGGGGGCGGGGGATCATCAACTCTGTGTTTTCTTGAGCATTAAATGTAGGATAGTATATAAAAGAGAAATGTAATAAATACAATGTGGCATAGAATAGGGTGATGCAATAAAAACAGTGAAGATAACAGAAGGGCAGTACAATAAATGCAGAATTGGATAGAGCAGGGTGGTTAAATACAGAGCGGGACATGGTTTAATGTGATAAATGCAGAACAGGATACATAAGGAAGTACAAATACAGAGTGGGATGCATTACGGCAGTATTATTGTTACAGATGAAGATAGTGGGGTAGGGGTAGTTTAATAAATTAATGTAGTGGCGTTGTGGAATAGAGAGCAGGGCATATTAGGGAAATGTAAAAAAAGAGTCAAGTACGGAAGTTAATAAATATAGAGCTGGGGTACAGTAAGGACATGTAATATGAAATTACATACATACAGTAGAATGTTTTATAAATACTGACTGGTGGAGGATGATATATAGTAGGATAGTGTAATAAATACAGTAGGAGATATACAGGGTGCAGCAGAACCGATTAAGCAGTTTTGAGGGGTCGATGCTTGTGCTGTGGTGTTGGGAAGCAGGTGCACCTGGTCTCATTGTGTTCCTTCTGTCACCCCATTTCAGTAGCCAATATGGTTTGGACTGGAGTACATCGAGGCTTTGCCGTGCGGGCATATTTAGAAAACAATCAGTCTGTGATTGCGATGCAAAGAGCTTTTCGGCGACGGTTCAACATTCCGTCACACAACGCCATTCCTAATGTGAACACAATTCAGTCATGGGTTAGACGGTTGGAGGAAACTGGTAACTACGCTTAGAAGAGGTACACATGGCCAATGCAAGTCCATAAGAACACCGGAAAATGTGCAATTGGTGAGAGCAGCAGCGGAGCAGTCAAGAAGGACGTTCTGCTCAAAGGCACGCTGTTGCTTTGGGAATGTCAGACCGCAGTCTGAGGAGGATTCTTCATTTATATTTGCAGTTTCCTCTTTACAAGATGATGTTCGCTCAGGAATTGAGTGTAGCAGATAACGCCAACCACAGAAATCTGTGTGATCAAATGCTTGCACAGATCCCTCCCGGAGAAGCTTTCTTCAGTAGCGACGAGGCACATTTTCATCTCAGTGGAGCTGTGAATAAGCAAAATTTCCGCTATTGGGCTCAAAATAACCCCCAAATCATTCATGAAAGACCGCTACATTCCCCTAAACTAACGGTGTGGTGTGCTGTATCAATGATGGAAAATTTTCTGCAGCCCAGAATGGAAGAGATTGTTGAAGAAGGGGGAGTTCTGGTTCTAACAGGATGTTCAAACATCGCCCTCACACCTTACCAGAGCTAAGGGAACAGATTATTGAAGACGTTAACGCCATACCCCGCGATATGTGTGATCTTCTCCAACAGCGTTTTGCTGCTAATGGCCGCCTTCTCGAGGACATTATTTTCAAAACTTAATGAATATAAAATGGTATTTACTTCTGAATTTGAAACTAAAAACAGTTTTTCTCTATATACCTCAGTTGATTTTTTTATAACCCCCTCAAAATTCCTTAATCGGTTCTGCTGCACCCTTTAGTAGACAGAAAACAGAATATAATGTAGTATATTCTATAGGTGTTGAGGTAAAATGAGAGAAATGCCATTTACAATTTTCTGGAACTTATGTTCAGCTCAAGATATTCTCAGTAAAAATGAAAATCCTGCGCACTCCCTTATCTACTAAACAGCTACTTTGGTGTTGACAGATTTTGCTAGTTTTATTAAAAACACCTAATCTAGGCAAAAAAATAATAATGGGGTTTAGTTACATTATAAAATCATACATTATATGAGCAGCCAGCCCCTTGTTTTCCCATGATATATGCTCCTGGGAGGTATGATCCCTGCCTGTGTGTATGTCGCTCAGCTTGGTTCCTTGTAGATAGAAGGTCAGGGTCAGTTGAGATGTCGAGCGTTCACAAGTATTTCTCTTTCCAAATTGCAGTGTTGCAGATATTCACCAATGACATTAAATGAGAATAAAAACAGAAAATAGTGTTCTCTGTTTTTTTGTTGGTGTAAAAGCAAAATCAAAAGAGGTTGCTTAATAAATACAGAGCGGTCAGAGGCGCTATAAGAAGGCTGATGCAATGTCTAGTGGGATACAGTAGTAGGATAGTGTGATATGTAGTGGGATACAGCAGTAGGTTAGTGTGTAATATGTAGTGGAATAGAGTCATGTTGTGTGTTATTTAGTGGGACACAGTAGGGTAGTGTAATTTGTAGTTCAAGGTTACACAAATGCGACATTTTACAGGCAAAGTCTGTACTTTAAAACACACTATAGGGTCAGGAACACAAGCATGTATTCCTGACCCTATAGTGAAAAAAAAAATCACTATTTAGGTCCCCTTGCCCCTCTAAATAAACTAAAATCTTACCTTATTTCCAGCGCCCTGTGGTTTCATCCATGCTGGCTTAGCCCTTGATCTGCTTCCTTCTCTGACATCATCAGAAGTGATTATCTCAGCCAATCACAATGCTTTCCCATAAGAAAGTATTGGATTGGCTGTGATTGTAAATTCTGATGATTTCAGCCAACGGTCCGAGGGCAGAGCCAAGCACAGCCCTGGCCAATCAGCATCTCCTCCTAGAGATTCAATGAATTAGTGCATCGCTATGAGGAAAGTTCAGTGTCTGCATGCAGAGGATGGAGACAATGAATGCCAGTCACACTGTGCAGCACTGTCCCAGGAAGCAGCTCTAGCAGCCATCTGAGTGGCGGCCAGTAGAGTTGTCCCTAGACTGTAATGTAAAAACTGCATTTTCTATTAAAAGATCGTGTTTACTGCAAAAATCTTGAAGTGGCTGATTATACTCACCAGAACAAATACAATAAGCTGTAGTTGTTCTGGTGACTATAATGTCCCTTTAACCGTCTTTAAACTTGGCATTTTAGGATATAAAAATATCTACCAAGTTGAACATTTCACACATCCCTTATTACTGCTCTTGAGTCAGATTTCATGTCCTCCTGGCAGTGAAGGGGTTACTCTAAGTGCCCTGTGTTTCTGGTACTCATGTATCCTCCTCCAGCATGAATGCAATGCTCTGCCTCGGGATGATTAATAAGGTGCTGGTGGAATGCATGTGATAAATGTGCTGTGAAACAATCCACATCTGGATTGAGTGCTGGTAGATTTCCACATCTGGGAAACAACCAGAAAAAAACAGAACAATGCGTTTCTAGGTCCTACTAAACAATACACCCCACAGGGAAAATTTCCCAGCCAGCCTTCCTTGGCATCCATCTTGTAACATTGCTGGCTCATATGTATTAAATAACACTGACATTGTGCTTGAAGTGCTGATGTTTCAGTGCGACTAAAGATGTACTTAAATTAACAAAAGAATGGAGCATTGTATTAGCAGTTCTCAGATTGTGCCAATAAATACATAAAAGGAAAGAGACAGACCCATTGTGCTTTCTGTGTGTATGAATAATTAAAGTTGTGTCTTTATAGTGCAACTCACATAATACTGAGTAATAACTTGCTCTGGGTGTTAGTATGGAAGGGAAGCTCTTTAACCCCTTCTGGAATAAAAGGGAATCATGACATGTCACACATGTCATGTGTCCTTAAGGGGTTGAAGGGTTAATTGCTAATGAAATCAATTATGAAATTTTAGAAAATTAAAATTGACTGTTGCCATCTCCTTCCCAATGAAAACTAAATCTGAATCTGTGATGTGTTTAAATTAAAAATGCATATATATCCAGAGTATGTGATATGTGTGCAAACTATAACTGCATTCTTTTATACTATGTATACAGCTAAATACTAATCCCTGTGTAAATCAATAGAATGTCCCTCAACATTTAGCACTTTGACCCACAATAGTATGTGATTTGTCTTAAAACATATTCTCCTCGATGTTTGCTTTTTTTCAAGTGATCAAATAGTCCCTGCTAGCTGCTATTGGGACTATTAGCAGAATGGATATTATATGTAATAGAACCACTGCAACTTAATGTAGTGGTTCTGGTGTCTAGAGCCTGTCCCTGCAGCCTCAGCAGTGTAAACACTGCATTTTTGGAGAAATGGCAGTGTTAGTGGTTGCATTGCTGTGGAACTCCATCTCTATTGACTGTCACTTGGACACTAGTGTGACTACCTGTGTTCAGTCCTGCAAAGATTGCATGAGTGACCCACTCCGCATAGAGCTGCATTGACTCAATGCATCTATATGAGGAGATGCGGATTGGCGATTTGCCGCACAAGCACACTAGCCTCCCATTGCTTTCGTATGATGAAGTTTTGGGATTGGCTGAGATCATTAGCATTGATCTCAGTGGTGCATAGTGTGCTTGGTGAAGTAAGGTAAGTAAACCGCTATACTAGTTACTAGAATACTTTAGCATGAGGAATACATATTAGTATTTCCTGTGCTATCATTTTCACTTAAATGGGCACTAATGTCAACCAGGCTACTTCATCTTAATTGATTGGTCTGGGTGCAGTGGTCCTTGAGTTCCAAACATACTATGTAACTGCAATGTTGACATTACAGGGTTAAGTTAACCTCTAGTTAGCGTGCTACTGACAGGCTCAAAAGGCACTACCGCGCTTCTGATTTAGTAAAACTCTGTAATGATATACTGTATTTGGCGCACATGCCCATCAGGTCCCCAGTGCTCCTCTTAAAGGAACATTGGATTGGACCAGCTATGGAGGAGGTCATGCCTCCTCTATGATGTTACTGGAGGTGCAGAGGTAAGCAGCACAGGTGGAGTCTTTGCAGTGGAAAAAGGTAAATAAAACCTATTTTGTCTTCATTTTTGTCACGAACTGTAAGGTGGGGGTGTAGCGGAGTAGTAGTACAATCCACGGTATCTCCGCTGGTAGTCAAAAATCAGCATAGAAATCACAAGTAGCGTAGTTAATATCCCTCCTTCCCAAGAACTAGACGACACATAGTTTGGGAGTCAACTGAGCCTATGAATACAGTCTGAAGTGGCTATGTTTGCCACGGGGGGTGGAGGGGTTATGGCCTGTATTTTAGTAGGGACATGGACTTGGTGTTTGGAATACAGGCTTGTATACCTAACGCTTTAGAGTACCTTTAAGTATTACTATGTTAGCGTTCATATTCGTTTTTTGCATTTTTCACACACAAATAAATATAAACGCTACATTTGGTCAGTGTTTGTGACTAAGTGGCTGCTAAAAAAGGCTGGACATACCCCATATTGAATACCCTGGGTTGTCAATTTTTGCAAATGGTATGCTATCATGGTGGTAATTCTAATTTCTGGGCTACGATATAGTGTCAAAGGCAACATAACCAGTCTGTCAAATTTCAATGTGTATAAACTGAAAAATGAACTGTGCTATATTTGACCCTGTAACTTTCCAAAACACCATAAAACCTGTACATGGGGGCTACTTTTGTACTCGTGAGACATTGATGAATACAAATATGTGCATTTTATTGTAGTGAAAACTAAGAGTATTATGACATTCACAGTTAAAATGCCATGCAGAACTAAAAATATGTTAAACCAATCTAAATTTCTTACACTTTTGTTTAGATTTTATTCATAATAAATTATGTTTTATATATGAATAAATCATGTGGAATTAAAGCCCTGCTTCTCTTGAACAAAATGATATGTAATATGTGTAGGTGCACATAATATGAAAAAGGGTGAATTATGGTTCTACAGACATATAGCGCAATTTCCAGTTTTTTGTTTACCTTTTGTTTTGTACAATTGGCTCCGTCCTTAAGGGGTTAATGCATTACAGAATGTACACTCATTGATGCTAGCTATTTGGCCATATACAAAAATGGCATGGCAGCAAGTGAGTGAGCATTAGTCTGACCACAGTAAAACTTTGGAAACATCTGCGTTTCTGTGGCACGTGGCACTAAGAAAGCTTACTATAAAATTCACTTTCCTTGTCTTCTCTGTTATCTGCCTTTTTAAAACTCCATTCACAATCCTTCGATAAACAGAACTCTCTCTCTATATGTGTTTTGCTTGAATCCCACATTATGAGTTAAATTAAACAAGGAATGTGGACAGCCACAATTAAGATAAGGCCGCTCTCCTAATTCACTTATTTCTCTTTAATAGAATTCACTATGGAGACACTGTAAAAGCCGATAACAGGGCTTCTTAGCCGACCTTTTTCTTGGAAGACAGATCTCACCATCCACGCAATCCTTACTGACACAGCTTTTCTTGTAATTAGGATTTTACCCACCGATTTCTAGGCGGAGGCAAATGGTTATATTGACAGGAACATAATAACCGTCAAACAGATCATCAACTTACAGATCCGCGCTGCTTCAATA